AAAGTGAGAGAAAGTGAGAGAGAGAGAGAGAATAAAGCTACTGCAGAATGGAGATGATAATAGGAAACCACCTCGTTCTAACCAAAGCAATGAATTTATAGCCACTATGACCTTTTCCTTCCCTGGAGATTTGTTGCCATGCCAACTTAGATCACATTTTTTGACATGGTATGAAGTACAGACTGTGTATTTTGTCAAGGCAATTTCGTTTTTTATAGTATGGAGAAGAATTGGGCTGTATGTCTGGGAACACAGTCGACCCTTGCAGGTTTAGTTTTTAAATCTGATATGACTAGTCAGCACTCGAAACTAAAAATTCCTCTTAATATTTACTGTTCACTTCCATACGAGGTCTTGAAGTCCAAGGCCAGATATATTATTTATTACGCCGAACAACTCTTCAAAGCTGCTTGAAATGCCAGGGCACTTTATTAAATGTGACAGCTACACAAATGTTTACCTTACTTTGGAGCTGATTTATACTGTCAGGATAACATTATTTATCCCATTATATCTCCCAGTTTCTCTCTTGCTCGAAGGCAAAGCATTTGATACATCCCCACAGAGCAAAATGTTTACAACATTTAAAAAAATAACTAACTAAAAAAAAAATCCTTAAAACACTGTATTGTAAACTACAGTATGTCATATATGACTGAATTCAAAAGACTCCAATGTGGCACAGGGTGACACAAACAAAATTAATAGAGGTGACTGGTATTCCTTTAACTTTTTCCATCGAATGTTGCAGCCTTGACTATAAATATTCCTGGAAGATTACATTTTAAGATTTTTTTTTTCTTTTATGCAGGCTGCAAAAAATGCGATTCAACATCAGAATCATTTAATCTGATGAAAATAAACCATGACGTTCCGGCACACAGAAGATAGTCCCTCTCCACTGATGTGCAGAAAAACCTTATTTAAAAGAAATGAAAGGTTATTCTGCAGGTTTGAGCTAAACAGATGCTGTTTATCAACACTAATCAGTACACCACCATCATCATCATGCACTCTCAATATTACATAATCAACATGCATGTAAGGTTGATTCAGTGAAGTCCCTGTTGTGTTTGTGCACTCTGCTGTGTCTAATGAATTACAAGATATGACAACAGCACTGCTCAAACAAAAGCCAACCGTACATCACTTCCAATGAAGCCTAATGATTTGAGTTTGCCAATCCAGTGAGGGGGGGGGGAGAAGATGGCAGAGCCAGAGAACAAAAGGGAGAAGTTAATCAGGGCTTGGTCACTTCATTTGGCAGGCTGAGAACAGGGCAGCTGTTGAAGAGTCTCTATTGTATTAAGACTCTGGTCCTCTGCAAAAGATCCTCATCCCCCCCAAAAAAACAGGCCACTGACCCAGAAACACACAACACAACCCCGACAGGAAATGTGTCTCTCAATTCCAGTCCTGGGGACCCACTGCTCTGCACATTTTGTATGTCTTTCTTATCTGACACACTCAGAGCCCATCCACATGGAGACGCGTTCAGCTGTATACGTAAACATTTTGTATCGTAACGGCGTTTCGTTCAGACGGATACAACATTTTGGGAGACAGAAACTGGGTCCCAGAGTGGATAAATCTGAAAACAACACCCTTGCGTTTTCGTGTGTACAGCCAATCTATATATTTTGTGAAACGATGATGTCATCACCCCATGTCTCAGCCCTAGTCAGACACCGCTATACGTCACGTAACAGCAACAACAAGAACAATGGCGGACTACATGCTAGTGTTCGTGCTGCAGAAGCTACTGAGCCTATTATCTTTACTAAAGAAAAAAAAAAATTACTAAAAATATTTGTATACAGCGCGCAAGGTTTATGCGCATACTCCAAGTCTTCTTCTCCGTTTTTAGTGTATCTCTGTGGCAGAATTACAGCACCACATACTGGTCTGGCATGTATACTACATCGTTTCGAGTCGGTTTCAGTGGTTTCGTGTGTACGCAAATATTTCTTGAGATGAAGCTGTGTTTACGGATTTTTTTTTTAGAATGAAGAGAAAAAATCGGATAGGGAAAGCTCTGGCTTTGTGTGGATGTGGCCTCAGTTAATTTCATGGAGCTCTCTCCTAACGAGCTGATGATCTGAATCAAGCATGTTAAATAAGGGAGACATGCAAAATGTGCAGAGCAGGGGGTCCCCAGGACTGGAATTGAGAATTGAGAACCAGTGTCTCAGAGAGCCCAGTCAATCACAGAGAGATGAGAGCCGGGTCAGATTGTGAAACTGTGAATCATGCTGTGGTCAGGAGCTCTTTACAGAAACCTTTTATTGTCCTCAAAGACAACATACACACACTTTCTATTCATCAAACAATCCCCAATAATAAGAAATGTTTATTGAGCAGCGAATCATCTTGTTAGAATGATTTCTGAAGGATCATGTACTGCAGGACTGCAGAAAAGGACGGCAGGAAAAAAATTCTAATTCAAATAGAAATTCTATTCAAATAGAAAAGAGTCCTTTTAAATTGTAACATGATTTCACAATATACACTTTTTAGAGTCATCTTTTTGTGCATTTATATCGCACTAAACAAGTTTTTGATTAGTTTAAAACTAGGTAAAATAAAACAGATTTCAGTTAGTGTGTTTTGTTACATGGATCTGTTCCTTTTACACTTTTCATTTGAAGCAAAAGTCTAATCAAAATCTTCTCATGCTTCCTGGTCCGCCTCATCATTAAGTACAAGCCATCTGTGGTAGAGCGTTCTCAAAAGACATCTCCACTACATGTGTTCTGACCTTTCTCCACAGCCAGCCTCTCTGTTTTCATTTTCTACTGCTGGAGAGAAAATCACAGAGAGCGCTGCCATTTCATTTCTGCTGCCTGGATCATTTTTCTCACCTCTCATATCCTGAAGAACACACTTGCTCACAAGCAACAGAATTGAATGACTAAGTAATGTTTAATACCATCATTATCAGCATCCTTTATTAATTACAAACTCTGTTCTAATTGTGTTTTGATTGCTCAGACCTCATTATTGTTCATAGCGGCAATTAACACAGCTGGTCTATAATAGGAGAGGAGATGGAACCATTCACATATACGGGATCAGTATTATCAAAAACATTATCCATACCCATAAAACAATGTTATTTACTAAGCCCTGCTTGGATGTTTAACGCACATTAATTCAGTCAAACAAATAAATGAGGTCACTAGATTTAGATTTGTCTTTTCTATATATATGCAACAAATATACACACACTGTATTTTTGTTGTGCCCTTGGCTTGCGGCTTCTCTGTGTGTGTACACACATGTACAAACACACACAGACACACACATACAGAAAAGCCACAAGCCAAGAATGTATGTTTCTTAGCTTTATTTGGCTTGTGTCTGTTTAGTTTTCAGTGCTTTTCTGTATATATTCATCAATCATTTAAAGAAATCATTCATTTTGTAACTAAAGGCATTTAGTCTGTATAGTCTGGTACATGTTTTTATGGCATTTATCAAACATCCAATCCAGCTTGTTTGGATTCATAAGATGGAGTGATTGTGTGAAATTTAGGACACTGATGAAAAAATGAGGCCCATATGTTTACAGACGGCTTTTGGGGAGGCAGGGTTAGGGAACCATTCATTTAATAACTAATGGCATTTAGTCTGTATAGTCTGGTGCATGTTTTTATGCCATGTATCAAACGTCCTATCCAGCTTGTTTGGATTCATAAGATGGAGTGATTGTGTGAAATTTAGGACACTGATGAAAAAATGAGGCCCATATGTTTACAGACGGCTTTTGGGGGAGGCGGGGTTAGGGACAAGGGGTGGGGGTGGGGTTCTGTCAACCTTATGTTGATGGATGAACCCTCTGAAGATCATGAACACAGAATTAGTGCATTAGGAGCTGTGTGATAAATAGCCCCAGCACCTCCGCAGCCTCATCAACACAGTCATACACATGACAAATTGAATGGAACCATGAACATAATAAGCCAGACTCAGAGCCGGGGCGACATACATAAACACACATTCACACACTCACATGATCACATCACTGGGGTGGTCGAAGCATTGAAAAACAATAGAGAACTGATTTCGATTAAAACTCATTTATAATGCACGAATCGTATTGTGGTGCAGTCTACTGCAGAATGAATGCAGAGATTGTCTGAAGGACAGATGGTAAATGCTGTATTGTTTAGTGTTTGCTGATTTTAACATCATTTCATCTTATTTGAAACTATTTGTGACAAATCAGCTGCATCCGATGTAATAAAGGTGACATTTGGAGGTCTTGTTTTATAATTATGTACACATATTATTGAACCCCATACAATTTCACATATTTTGTTGACAATATTTCACATCAGGTTCAAAAGAATCTAATTTACATAAATACATATTCTTTCCACGAAATTCCATACTGTTATGAAAGAGGATTAGGATTAAGTTGATGTGTCTTCATGCTGTCTTGCTGTCTACACCTTCATGTGGAATTCAGTTTACACTCTGACCAAACCAAATAACTTCACTAGTGAATTCATCATTGGCTGGATTTGTGAAGTAGGATTCTGAGTATTTGCCTCATAGGTATATAGAAGCAGAAGAGCAGGCCCGGTACTAGGCTCGCTGGACTGGGGGGGCAATCAGAAATTGTGGTAGGGCGGTATATAGAAGCAGAAGAGTATAACCTTTGGCAGATAGAGCATCATTCCTTTATTTACATCTCTCTCTCTCTCTCTCTCTCTCTCTCTCTTATTTTCCCTTTTTGATTATTTTAAGAACATATTAAATTTCTATTGCAAATAGTTAATACTTATCAAAACAGACCTGAAGTTATATTCCAATTGTCATGTAAATTAATGCCTACCACGTGACAAGCAACGTCGTTTCAAAAACATTTTCAACAACACTACTTTATTCTTGAATGTAGTGCATAATAGCCTTGGGGGGGGAATCAAAATGCATTAATATTGTTTTTTGTGTGTCCCTTTTTGTCTAATAAACTGCAAAAAAAGTAAGCAGACTGCATAATGGACTTGCAAGTAGTCCAAAGCTCTCCTTAATTTAATGACTGTTTCTACTTAGATCTCTATATGCTTTTGTAAAACGTAAAGATTAAATATTACTTACGTCACTGGGTCTCCAGCGTGCATTAAAGGTACGCTAGGCAGTCTCTGCGCTACTATAGTGTCACCTAGCGGAAATACAAAAATAATGCATGTTTTCAAACAATCTTTGCAAACGTCCTTTTCGCGCTTCACGCCTTCCCTAAGCTCTTACGGGTCTATAAAAGTGAAGCCATGTCTCAACAGGTAAAAGTAATGTTAGACTATTTTCAATAAAAGGTCTAACATATTAGGAATACTTTTAACTTGAAGTGTATAGCTTACCCTGTCGAGAAGAAGCTCAGCGAGTTCGTCTTCTCGATTGAAACCCAAACATTTCATCAAATTTCTCCATCTTGTAAAAACGCTGCCAATGTTTACCCTTGTCTGTCTCTGAGGATTTTGGCAAGTCTTCGAATTTTGGCTTGCACTTCTGTGACGGAATTAAAGTGCCTAATCTTCCCACTTCGGCTAAACAACACCCTCTGGCTCAGTCAGCTGCTACAGTAGCCACGCCCCAAGCTCTCTCTATTGGCTGCGGTATGCAAACATATAGGTTGACAGGCAGGTAGGACATCCTATCATTAGATTCGAACATTTTATCGAACATTTTATGGTCCTGAGCCCTCACCAAAAAAAAAAAAACTAGATGAATAATTAAAAATAATAAGTATTGTTATTATTTTGTTTTATTATTTTTCTTATTATTATTAAAATCCATATACCACTTATCTTCTGTAGGGTTGTGGAATCATCACATTCCTTACAATTTCATATCCACCTATGATGCAGATAGTATTCTTCACATCAGCTACAGCACATTACTGAATATTTATGATGGCCAAATATGCAAAATAAATAAATAAATAAAATACAAAATGTAAAATGGTGATTTTACAAGCATTTCTATGTTTAGCCATCCTAACTAGTTAATATTTTGAAATGCTGTGTAACATGAACTCTCAACTCATTTTCTCAACTCTTGTTGTCATCAGTCTGACTCATCGGGGCCTTCAAAAGACTAGCCATGAATACTGTTTCCTCTTTCTCTATTTGACAGTCGTAATGGAGTTCACCAAGTTCATAGAGACAAGAGGCAAGATTTACCATCTCACATTTAACTGTTTCTACTGCACCCATTGAAAAGAGCATTCCTCCTCATAATCTGTAAAAGATTTGTTTCTGACTCCCCTTTCATCAGAGCAATGCGTTCACCCTTCCCTCCCTCTCACCCTCTCTCTCTCTCTCTCTCTCTCTCTCGCTTACTTGTGCGTAACCTTTCTCTGCCCTCATTGTTTGGCTTTTGTTTGGCAACAGCTGTTGGGGTGGATTTTTTTTTGGTCAGCTGTGAGAGTTCCAGGCACAACAGGAGCAGATGGCGTTTTGCCCTGCATGAATGGAGAAACGGAGGAGAGGAGCTGAATAGAGTCTCTGAATGGTGTCTGTACAGCACCTGCCTCTTGTAGCTCCACACAGACATCATAGATACATGGCCTGATCTGCTACAGCTTCCTTACTGTCGTGCAGAATTAGACACACAGAGAGACTGATGTAGAGAGAGAGAGAGAGATGGAACATGGCTTGTTGGGTTGTGTCCACATATATTGATTTCTCTCAGACCACTGGAATAATGTGCCGTATAGTAAGTTTGAGTTATTGGACATGACATAGCATGCACATGTAATCTATCACTTTGGTCTCCCAGTACACATTATCAGCTTTGTTGCTATAGTAACATGTGAGCTCAGTAATAGCTTACATTAACAGCCTAAGTAAGTCACAATAAAAAGCAATTTCAGAGAGTCAGGTTTCTCAGAAGAACACAAAGTCCATAGAATACTGAAGAGGAATTGGGAAGAGGTAACTCAGGGGAAACAATATATGCTTTTATATTCCGCAACCGAAGGAGATGGAATGAATTCTCTCTCTCTCTTTCTCTCTCCTTGAAACATCTGTCAGCTACAAAGTTTAGTTTTCTGTCACAACAAAGCAAATGTTCCTCAATTAATGCCAGCTCACAGTGCAATTTTAAAATGAATCTCTACCTGGTCATTAAATAAATGTAACATTAACATTAGTGCAGAAAAATTCCAGTTATGTGCAAACTGTTCTGAAAACCAAATCACATTGTTTGTGTTGGCCTCAGAAACACTGACTGTACAATAAACTATGTTTGGAGATTTCCTGGAAAGACTGTGTTGAGAACTGCTGGCTTTTTACTGCCTGCAAGGTGAAACAGAGTCGTATTTCTGGGCTTGTTCACCCCAGTGATTTTGAAGCAGGATTGTTTGTTTGATGACCTTTAACTCTCGCAGAGTTGGACTTTGAGAGCAGTCAAGAGCTGAAAACTGGGGGAATAAAGTAGTTTGTGAACATCTCACAGCATTTCTTGACTTTGGCCATGCTATTTTCGTTGTAGCAATTAAAAATAAATAGAAAATGCAGTCTTTTTATTCATCTAACCAATAAGAAGTGGCTCAGTCTATGGAATATGTATGAGCTGACTGAGAAAAAGAAAATCTTTTGGAGTGCCGTACTGCAAACGTAACCTATGTATATTCAAAGACAGCACATTAAAATGATTTTAGCTGTGGAGAACAATGAATATAATTTGAAATGATGCTCACTTAACTCCAGAAAGTTCATAATATGTAAGACATTTTATAAAATGAACTTGCTGAAGTTAAAATATTGAGGGCTTCATTGTATTCATCATTCTAGTGGAAGCGTGAAATTTAGCTTCACAGAATAATCTCACTTGACATTAATAGGTGCGTACAAGTATCCTGCTTTAGCGAAAACTACTTTCTGGGAATTTAAACTTCAATTTAGTGCAGTTCTGCTATTTCTGCCAGAGCTGAGAGGGCTGCTGGGAACATCTAGAAACCCATTTCATCTGTACTTGGGAGGAATCGGGATGAAGCATTGCTTTGATACAGTGGTGTTGAAAAGCAAAGGCTGGTGGTAACTGTACTGAGTAAACATATCATGTTCATCTCATTATCAAGGCAATCAACTATAGAAACTAGTACTAATTGTGAAAACAACACTAAAAACATTTTGTGAAAAGAAGCTTTTTTCTTTAGAAAGACTAAAAAAAATAATAAATAAATGAACAGTTTACATCAACTAAAATTAAACATAAATATTAGATGAAAAACAAACAAAAAAATTGAGACGTGTTGCCTTGGTGCTCTGTGTGATGTAGCATAACATTACTAAAATTAAAACAAAATATAAATTAATCAAAAGAAAGAAAAGTAAATAAAAAAAAGAAAAGACAAACAATTGAAAGTCAAGTTCTTTACTTCGCCTCAGACCTAGCTGTTAGCCTATCATTCAGTCTGGGGAATCTTTCATACAAATGTTCTCAGCAGCACCAGCAGGTCAGCAGCACCTAAAGAAAGTTTTCTCTTTCTGACTGAGCGGTCAACATTATTTAAAAAAAAGCTGCCAGGGATCAACAGGATCTTGCCCAAAGCTAGTCAGTGAAACTCTTCACTCACTGCAAGGCCAGGTGTCTGAAGTCAGGTCAAAGGTTGCATGTGTTCTTTGGGAGCTGGGTGGGAAGGGGTTAGTTTTGTTAATGGAGGGCAAACGGCATGGCCTACTGGACAGTGTTACTGATGTTCTGTGGCTAGAGATGACCTTTGCCCTATTCAAGTTCTACCCTATTTGGTTATTGTTGCTAAGCTACACAAACAATGTCCACAGCCAGAAACTCTCCATCTGTCATGACTCATGTAGCTGCTTTATCAGTGATTACTTTATCAGAAACTAAGAAATTGTATCAATGATTACCTTAAATTATCTATCACAAATTATTATTATTTTTTTTTTCATAAGATTGACCAGATTCAATGAGGTAGAAATTCTTGATTGCTAACTACAAAAATGAAGTATTTTCACAACAGCAGGCTTACAGCTTTGTCTTGGTAGAAAGTACAGTATAATCTATGTTAAATATGATATAAAAATAGAAAGTATGGTCATTTCTTTTCACTCAACTAGTCAAAGAGACCACAAGCTACTCAGGTCACACTCTCAGCCTCAGGACACAGACCTTTTGTCACACTGTTCTCACTGAATCTGTGTAGACAGCAGGGTAATGAAAGACACTAATCAATCATTGATTGATATTACAAAAATGGGACATGCACAATGCATATGACCTTTTCCTCTGTGCCTTTAACACAGACTAAATTAAAATGCATGTGCGCACACACACACACACACACTAAGAGTGATGAATAGCAGTGGAATATTAGGTTATATGCAATAAAACTGTCCGATCATGTGACTGTGGTTTGAACTAGATTCTATAGATAGACATCATATGAATACTGGAGGGTAATTATAGTCGAGGCGGAATTTATGTTTGCTTTGAAGAATTTATGGGAACATATTACTTTAAGATATATATTTATTATATAAATTATTAAATATAAATATTTTATATATAAATTCTGTGATTAATTACTCACCATCATGTAATTCCAAACCTGTATAGCTTTCTTTCTTTTGTGGAAAATAGAAAAGGCTATATTATGCATATTCTTAT